GCCTCTCCTCCCCACCCACCCCTGCCACTCACGCATCTTTCTTCTGCTTCTCCCGGGATTTGGCCTCCGTGATGCTGTTGTGTCGCTTGCGGTCCAAGATTTTCTGCAGCTCCTTCTTTTCCCTGGGGAAGGTTGAAGAGGTCTATTAGCCATGGGGGTGGGAGAGAGGGGGGCCGCAGTGTGTTGGGTAAATAGTGCCATCACCTGTCTCCACCCCCAGTACCCACCTTTCACTTGTCTCCTTGACTCGCTTGAGCTGGGCAGCCTGGCACTCCAGGGCAATTTCCCGTAGCCGCTGCTGGGCCTTGTGGGTGAGTGGGGGCAGACAGGAGGGATAACAGGGCATTTGCAGTTAGATCCCCAAATTCTCCTCCCAATGCTAGCCATCCCGCACTGCCCCCCACCAAAGCACTCCCCTTGCATTCCACCCCCCGGGACCAGCCCCTCCCTGCTCCTGGAACCCCACCCCATGTGCGGTTCCCCCAACCCCTAATGGGGGGGTATCTTTTGGACCTGCCCTGTGCCTTCCTCCAGAAGGGAACCTGTTTGAGTTGCCCCTTAGTCCCATGCTCCCCTCGCCTTCCTGGGTACCTGTCGCAGGTGCTCTATTTTGCAGGCTCTCTCCATCTGGTGCTGGGTTTCTCGCAGCTGCAGAAGTCCACGCATCTGCCCCTCCTGCAGTGCCAGCTTCTGTCGGGACACCTCCTGCTCCAGCGCCTCCAGCGAGCCGTTGGCACTGCAAGGGACAGAGCGTTGGCATGACAAGGCCTGGGTGGTGGACTGGGGGGCACTGCCAGAGCTAGTGGGGGAGCCAGGCTGTGAGTCGGGATTGAGGGGCAGCAGTGGGGCTGGGACAGCAGGGGCTGTGGGAGAGGCAGCAGTAGGGGCTGCAGGTCAGGACTGATGGACACTGGCAGCGCCGCGAGGGGACACTCACTCCTGGTGCCCACGGCGCAGGCTCCGCTCCACCTGGGAGCGGCGCCGGAGGCTGTCACTGTGCAACTGGTTGGCCCGGGTGCTCTGCTTCTTGTTGAGGCTGGAGATGTTCTTCATGTGCTTCTTGCGTAGCTCCTTGAGCTCCCGGTACTGCTTCTTCAGCAGCTTGATGAAGCCCTTTTGCTTCCGCAGCTCCTCCAGGGTTTGGGGGGCCACCTCTGGAACAGAGGAGGGTCTCAGCATCCCCCAGGCACTGCATACACATGCCCTCGGGTGGGTCATGGAGGGCTGGCAACAGCAAAGATGATTCCTCTTCCCCCTTCCCCAGGCAGAGGGATGCACTATCCTTGGGCAGTGGTTACTGCTCCGTAGCTGCCCCTCGCTCTGGAGCAAATCTTACCTGTGAGGACGCTGGCAATGAGGTCGTCCCTTTGCCCTGCAGGGGGGAGGATGCAGCGGTGAGTGGGGCATAAAGAAACCCCCCCATCTCTTTCAACCCTGTCCCCCCACAACAGTTATGGCTCTGAAGGCATCTCGGCCATTATGCCCCCTGACTTCTCATCACAGGAGAATCCCATTCTCATGCTGCTTGTGACCCCCCCCTCACAGGGAATGCTCCCTCCCCCATTTTTTTAAAAAAAAAAAACTTCACCTGCATCTAGACTGCTGCTGCGTTCTTTTGAAAGTAAATTGAAAGAACGTGGCAGATTTTTCGACTGTGGAAAACCTCGTTTTACGAGGAAGAACACCTTTTTTTGAAAGTGCTCTTTCAAACAAAGGCGCTATGTAATGCAAACTGTGCTTTTTCAAAAGAAAGCATCCAGACTGCCTGGGTGCTCTCTTTCAGAAAAGCAGCTTGCTTTTTTGAAAGTACTGCTTGTAGGCTAGACGCTCTTTTTCGAAAGAGGCTTTTTCAAAAGTATCTTTCAAAAAAGCCTCTTTCGAAAGAGGCTTGCAGTCTAGACATAGCCTAAAGGGAGTCCTACCCTCAGAGGGTGCTTCCCCCCACTTATAACCATGCCCCCACAATGGGAACAGCAATCAGAGCTCCCCCTTGCCTGGGCTGGCGACACTGGGG